TAACCAGCACAGGATTTATTACTACTCTAATTACATTTCTGTCCTGCCGTCTTTCCTCTTGCCACCAGTATGTGACATGTGAATTGCTTGAAAATAATGCTATGTATACACAAAATATCATTTTCATTGCACTGCATGCAAAAGCAAGCAGGCTGCTGGAGCTCATGGAGTGAGTATAACCACTGGTTTCGAGTCACATTTTAACAGCCTGTGTCTTCTTTTTCGGTAGTCTGCTGTAACCAGACGAGCTCATAAAAGTACTACAGAAATGTTCTATAAAAGGGCCCTTCAGGTAGGTCATTACCATAATTCTTGAGGCCTCCTATGTAAGCTGCCCACTGCAGCCTTGAAAAGTGCCACACAATCTTAATTATTGCAACTTTGGATTCTCCTCCCCGACTCAGAGGGGCTACACCAAGAACAGAACACAGTGCCCCAGGAAAACAAGTTCCCACCCACACAAGCATGTTCTGGCCAAAAGGAATTCCACAGAGGCCTCCATGGAAGGAGTTTATCATTTTGAGACTGCCCCCTTTCCATCTTTGCACTTAACTGGCCAAAACGGCCATCCATTTTTAGTATTTGAGCTGGTGGCACTTCGAATGCTTAACAGAATCAAGCTCTTGGGAAGCAGAACCACTTGAGGCCAATGTTCTTCTGAGGAAGTGCAAAGTGCCTTTTGCTTTTGGAAGAGTGCTTTGAACAAAGCAGACTCAGAGCCCTTCCTCCCTCAAAAAGGGACCATATTTTCAGTTCTGGTAGAGAGAGGAAACACCCCCTAAGAAGCAGCATCTTGCAGCACACTCCTCTACTTTCTTGATAGATTCTACATTTCCTGGTGCCAGCACATTTTGCAGAAGCAAAGCAGACTAAACTGGCATTTCAAGACCAGTCCAGATGCCCAGGCCTTGTCCTCCCAGTCCAAATGAGAAAGAAGCCCATTTTTTGGTCACTAAGGGAAGCCCAGGGCCTTTGTGACACTCGCTCAGGCTCCAAATGGAATCACCTGCTTGGGCAGCAGCACACCTAGGTCTGAATCTGACAGCCTCGGCCAACCTGGCACCAGTACCGTTCCAGTCATTCCGCCACTCCACAAGCAAGATGCACGAGGGTTCGTTCCTACCATCCTATCATGCAGGGGAAAACCTAGCAGATTAAATTTACTTCACCTGCTAGCCCTGCATCTCACATCTGCACATTTCTCATCCACACTGCCAAATCTGATTCCATTTTCCAAAGCCAGGGTCAATTTGAGCCTCGGAACCCAAAGAAGCAACTCTGCTTTTACACACCTCTTTCTTCCTCCACAAGGCAGGCACTCTCCTTTCTGCCTCTCCAGAGCATGTGAAGCAAGCTTTGGAACGCAAACCGCTTCGCGCATTGGTCTGGCATGAGGAAGGCCAGGGTGGTGCATTGGTTGAGAGCACGGGCCCAGCCATGGAGCCAAGTGGGTGACTCTGGGCCAGTCAGAGACTCTCAGCTCAGCCTACCTCGCAGGGTTGTTGTTGTGGAGGTAAGACTAAGAGGTGGAGGAAGAAAATGATGTAAGCCACTTTCAGCTCTTTGAAAGAAATAGGGTGGGAAATAATTCTAAGAAATAAATAAGGCCCACCCTTCTTGGGTTGTATTCCCTACACAGTCTTGTCACAAGGAGCAAAGACACAAAGCTTTGCGCGCTTACAAAGGGAAGTTGGGCAGGTATGTTTTCATGTTATTCAAAACTCTCAAGCCGGAAGAATGGCAAGCAGTTCTGCTTAACTCAAAAGCCGGGTTATTCTCACGATAACCTGACATCGCCCCAAAGTAATGGAGAAAGCAGAGTTGGGGGAGGAAACAGCAAGGCAGCTTGAGAGACTGGAGGAGACTGAAGTCCAAGCAGAGGATGCGCAACCCAAGGGTATGAGGGAAAGGCCCACACACCCCAGTTGGTGGAGGTACGTGAGCATGGGAAGGATCTATTCTTCGAAGCTGACGTCACGGCTGGGTATAAAGGGTTGTGAGGAAACAGAAATAAAATAAACAGTTATGACTTTCAGAAATGTCACTCCCAGTTCATATCAGGCGCAGCCAAAGATAAATGTTTTCTCAGGGGTGGAGCAAGTGGAGTGAAGGTCATTATCTATGGGCGACAACTCCATGCAGTTTGCCAACTTACCAAACGACTAAAACACACACACACATTTGCCTCCACATGCAGGAGAGCACCATCTCTAGGGTTTCAGGGCTCCCTGCAGAAGAGCAGCAGCCCTGCTTGCATGAGTCAACAGACAGACGCATGTCTGAAGGGATCCCTTCCTTCCTTGGAAGGGCAGGCAGGCGATTACCTCAGTGACAAAGGGAAGGCGGAAGGTGTGTGCTGATGCTTTGTGATAAGGTAATTGCCAAATGCCAGCAGGTAGCCTCCACCTGTCCTTCTGCACCAAGTCATTTCTCTCTAGAGAACATCTGCCTAGTTCCAGAAATGTAGGCCTTAACCTACATGGGAATGCTCCTAGCTTGGTTGAAGTCCCCAAAGCCACCTGCGAAGTGGAGAATGCTCCACAGTACTCACACATTTAGGAAGGAAATGGTTTCTCTGAACAACAAACACACAAGAACCTACTTCAGGGGTTAGAGATGGGAGGGAAAGGGCTTATCACCATCCATTATGTTTGTTTCCTCAAAGAGGCACCCCACATGAGAGCTTGTGAGTGTTAGACCACAGATCACCACAAGCTTCTCTGAAATTGAATTTGGCTCTCAGTTTGGAAGAGGTTCCCGGATCCTGACCTAAAGAATACAGGGCTACACCTGAAAACAGAACGTTTTAGTGGGGAAAAAGATTCCATGCCAGTCCGTAATCATGGCCAAACAGCAGGTCCCAAGAAAAACCAGAAACTTCAAAGTGAAGGTGCATCTCCTACATCAGCTGCCTGGAAATCCTACAAGAAATGTTTCCAGCTAAGGGAAAGGTGACCTCAACAGGTCAACCACAAGATTTGCAAAATAGACTTCTGGTTCCTCAGGCCCCAAAAACTGTTGGCTAGTCAGTGAGCCCAGCTGCTTCCGAAACATCTGGAGTGAACATCTAAGAACATACACTGAATTGCATCACTGTGGTTTCAAGCAGTGCTCCAGAAAAGCCCCATGGCTTCTTGAAGAGAAGATGAGTCATAGCAGAGAATTCCCACGAAAACTTTTTACCCCCATATGACTCGGCATATTCGCAGCTCACACAGAGGCCCAAAAGATTGGTCAGCTTGAGAAAATGACCCAGAGTCCATGGCAGCTGCTGAAGGGTTGGTTCCACAGCCAAGGTGGCATCCCAAGCTCTGGAAAGCAAATAAACCTGTGGAAGCTGCCGCATCCCACATGGAAACAATTTATCCACCTGACTCTGTCTGGTGCATTCAGACTCAGGGCAGCCCCTTGGGTCTTTCCCATCACAGATCCTTAAAACTGGAAACGAGAGGGATTCCCTCTAAGAAGTCCTGTTCCAATCAGCACTGGCCCCCTTCTCAAGGGGTTGTGGGCCAAAAAATGGCTATTATTCAACCATGAAAGGTAAGGACAGGGCCGGAATTTCGGAAGCAATGAGCCTCCAGCTTTCAGGGACAGTGGTGAGGGCAGATCCTGCTTCTAGGCAGAAGCTCAAAGGTTCTGAGTTATGAAGGTGGAGTATCCAGGAGCCCCGGGTTCTGCAGTCCTTGCATCTTTAATAGAGCCCTTCTGTTCTTTGGAGAAGATGCTGACAAGAGCCTGGCTACTGAGCAGAAGGGGCCTCCCTTAGCAACTGCTCAGTCCAGCGCGGTACGAATACAGCCTTTAATAAAGCGCAGAGAACAGCGGGAGTGCGCAGTGGATCCTTCTATACATCACTGCTGGATACAAAATAATAAGCAGGAGAGCCGGAGGGGGTGTGTGGGGAAAAGTGAATGCGGCACCATACACACGAAAGCGCCGCAGCTCTGCTGGGCGAGCACCGCCGTTGCGCCGGGAAGCGAGCGGAGGAGGGCAACCTGGGACGGATTATTCCAAGCAACGATTCCTTAGCGCAGCGAGATCCACAGGTAAAGGTGTCCGGCCAGGGCCATCAGGCGAGTCCACGCGCGCGCCCACAGACCCAGCGTGCGTCGTGCGTGCGCTTCGGGCGCTCATTCGGACCCGAGCCTACGAGCCAGGGGGCCCTCCCTCCATTCAGAGCCCACCTGCAACTCAGGCGCACGGGGAAAGCAACTTTCCAGGCCGGCTCGACTCAGATCCAGTCGGATTCCAGGAGCGCGGATTCCTTCCTCAGGGAGGCGAGCCCAGCTGGTTTGGACTGGACTGACCCCTGAGCGCCGCAGCTCGGGCTCGGGGCGAGAGAACCCTCCAGATAAGGGAGCCCGGGGTGCGGCCGGGCGCGCAGAGGAGGGGTCCGTGCTAGGGCCCCCCTCTCCTAAAATTCTCCGGGGCGCAGGGCAAGGTTCACGGGGGCGCGGGGCCGGGCCAGCAGAGCCTGCGAGAAGAGGGCTCTCCGCCCTGCGCTCCGACCCGGCGCGGGGCTGTCCAGCCCAGCGAGAAAGCGGTAAGAGGTGTCCCCTTTCTCCCCGCCCTCACCTCGCTTTCCCCAGGGCGGCCAGCCAGAGAAACAGGTTCCTTGGGCAGGGCCTCGCCATCTTGCGAGGGAGAAAGAAACTTTATCCAGCACTTGAGGGCGGGGAGGCGGCGGGAGGGCGCGGGGGGGTGGGGTCAGGCGAGGAGGGGGCGCCAAGTTTCGGCGCGGAGTGCGGCCGGTCGGCCCGGAGCGCGGCGGGGATGGAGGTGCCAGCGAGAGGAGCGGTCTCGGGGGGGAGCCGCGGAAGCGCAAGGGCCGGGGCGGCAGGCGGCCGCCAGAGGGGCCAGCGCGGGAGCGCGGTCGGAGCCCAGCGCGCGCCGGCCGGGGGGGGGTGCGTGGGGGGGAGGCAGAAGGAGCCGGGCAGGCGGGCGGCGCCGGGTGCCGCTCCCGGGGCGGCCAGCGCGGGGATGCGGCCAGGACTCACCGGAGAGGAGGCAACAAAGGAGGCTGGCGAGAGCGCACGAACCGCGAGGCGCGCCCATGGGGCGGCGGGGGGTCCCTGCCACAGGTCGAGCGCCGGTCCCTGCTCCGCTCGCGGGGGCGGTGGAAGCGTCCCGGGCGTCGCTCCGTCTGTCCCGAAGGCAGCGCCTGCCGCGTCTTGGCAGCCCGCGCGTTGCTGCACCCGCCCAGCGCGCTCCTGGCACCGCCTCTCCGGGGGAGGAGAGGGGTGGCCACGCCCCCGCGCCCCCCCCGCCAGCTGCTACGGCAGCGCGCCCGGCGGGGTGAGGCCCCCCACGCCCACCGCCCGGTCCCTGCTGCGTCCCCCACCTTCGCCCGCAGACGCGGGGCCCGAGCGCACCGTCCCCCGCGCGGGGTCTGCGCGTACGTGGCAATCCAACCCTCCCGCTGCGGAAAACCCCGCAGGGATCGGGGACCGGCGGTGGGGGGAGGGCTTGTTGTGCTCCCCCTGAGAGAGAGAGAGAGAGAGATCCCATCCAGACAGCGTAGGCGAGGGATCATTTCTTCACTTCCATATTTTTGGAGACACAAGTCAAAGGATTTTCTTCTCTTTCAGGGTTTTTCTACAGGATTGCCATGGGGGGATTACTGGGGAATTCATCCCGACACACACAGTCCAGTAAGATCGGTTTGTCGTGAGAGACGATTGTTTCTCTCACACACACGCAAGGATCACCTTTCCTTTGACTTTTGGAGTGCACATCTGTACATCCTTAAAAGATCAGAGGAAATATGCTTCTTGCTTTAGAACAGCCTTCCAGAAGCTGGGTGGGTGTGACTGCAATTCCCATCATGCATGCTGGCTGGGGATGATCAGCCTTGCTGTCTGAGCCAACCCCGGGGGCTCCAGGCTGGGAAGTCTGCTTCATTTTAAAATGGTGTTTGTTTGCTTCACCCAGGAATGACGATTCTCTGGCTGGTTCCAGAAAGTGGTGCTTCAGGAATATTGCTCTGCCCCTAGGATTCTCGAGTATGGGGTTTCACAGGGGTCAGCCTTGTCCCCCGTGCTGTCCAACATCTACATGAACCCACTGAGTGAGGTCATCCAGGGCATATTTCTCCGCTCCATCTTTCACAATATCTGATGCAACACTTCTCTGGACCTCCACCTCCAAGAGGGGCTTGCTTGGCACCCCCATTGTGGAACAAGCTCTCCACAACCTTTATTGTTCAGCTCCAGGTTAAAACTATCTTCCCCCATGGGTCACTTAATTAGTTTGTTAGATTCTGAAATGCGTCCTAAGATTAACCTTGCTCCAGTTATTATAATGTCCACGTGGGTTTTAAATTTGGTTTTCAGTCTTACATACTTACCTTAATGATGCTTTATAACGCAGCTTGCATTTTATACTGTATTTTTAGTGTGCCATTGTAAACTGCCCATAGAGCTTCAGTTATTGGACTTTACAGAAATGAAATGAATAAAAATAGAAAATAGAAACAGCGCCAGTCAGAAGGGGTCTCTCGGGCCATCTAGTCTGACCCCCGGCTCCAGCCAGCTCAGCTCTGGAATGCAATGTAAGACTTAAAAGAGTGGAACATGCCACAACCACGCCCATGAATGCCTCTCCCATCATCCACCCCAGCACAGACAATGGGTAGCAGCCCAGTCTTTGCTCAATGGGGCAGCATTGTGTGGGACAGCAGCCACCTGGGACCCCCTGGCCCTGAGCCGCATCAGTGCCTACTTAATATTTTATTTATTTTGGGATTTATATCCTGCCTTTTTCCTACAAAGGGCTCAAGGCAGCTTACATCATTCTCCTCCTCCATCTTATCCCCACAATAACAACCCTGTGAGGTAGGTTGGGTTGAGAGTCTGTGACTGACCCAAAGTCACCCAGTTGGCTCCATGGCTGAGTGGGGACTAGAACCCGGATCCTCTGAGTCCCAGTCCCAGGCTCTTAACCACTACGCCACTTTCACTGAGTGCTGGAGCCCTGGAAAGAAAATGTAGCCAAGTAATCACATGGATTTCTACTCAATTTACCCATCTGTCACATTTAGGAAAGTGTAAAAAATCCATGTCTAAAGCAAGAAGAGGCATTTCTGCTTTGTGTGAGGGAATTCCTTTCCTAAGGCGGTGTTGGCACTCAGAGTTTGTAAAAGGCCTTGCATAGTTGTTTTTAAATTCCGCATAACTAATCTGAGAAAAGTTTTGAATTAGAAGCTTTCAACAGCACAATTCTAGGCATGTCTACTCAGATGTACATTCCCTGGGGCTTATTCCCAGAAAAGCAAGAATAGGATTCCCCCATCTTCCAGTTTTGCTCTCCCCCATGACCACACCCCCCCAGAAATTAACTTCTGCTTTCTTGGTTGTTACCCCTCAGTGGCACGCAAGGGAGTAATTAGTTGGGAGAAACTATCTTGCTTATTTTAGGCAGCTCCTTGGGCAGGCGGGCTGAGCGCTGCTTCCGCTCCTCAGGTGGTTGGGGAAGGAACCAAGACCTACCTGTGAAAACTTTGCATGTTCCCTACTCTGCTTCCCCATCAGTTCCCGTTAATTTAACCCCATGAGTATCATCATGGGTGACATTCCTAAGAAATCTTAGCCATGGGGATTTCCACAGTTCTCAGTGAAAGTACTCTGTCCTCGGGTCATTACAAAGTCCTTGAGTCTCATAATCATTTCCCAATGATAACATAGACTATTGAATTACTTAAATGATGAGAAATATCCCTATTTTTGAATGCCTACAGTGTTTTAAAAACAATCCATGAAAAAATACCAGAAGACTCCCCCCGTAAGTAGAAAATAAGCACAACAGGTAAGCAGCTTTTCTCCCTGATGGACTACATTTCTGCTTCCGGGGATGTGTTGCTGTTGTAGGGGTTTACAGGGTGGCGCATTCCAAGGTGGCCTCCCCCAGCCGCAGTCTGGAATGGTACAGGCAGGGATCGACCACCTCACTTCGCTGGCTGTGCAGCCCCTGCCTCAGTTCTTCTCTGTTCAGGCCCCCCCCCCTCCCGCTGGCTCCCCCAGTGAGCACAGCTTCTGGCGGAAACCCCTCCCCGCGCAGTTTTGTGGGCACCTCTCGCCCCCTGGTGGTCTTGCAAGCAACAACAGCTAACAGGCTCATTGCCACCCGCACCACGTTTTTTCGGCTTTCACTTTCACAGATAGTGGTGCTCCCAGGTACAAATTAAGCTGGGTGCCCTCAGTTGTTTTATCTGTCCGGTGGGAGATGGAAATGGTTCCTAGTGACTCACCTGTGGCTTGAAGACATTCTTTCCTCCATCCTGACTCTGCTGTTGGACAAGTCAATTGCGACATTTCATGTGTTTAGGATGCTTCACGTACGTTTTCTCACTCAACCACTTATTTATTTAGAACGTTTGTGGACTGACCCATTGCCTAAGTCTCGGGACGGTTTAACAATACAAAATGTAAGAAAAGAAAAAAAATATTAAAACACAGCGTCCTAAAATTTAGCAATAATAAAACCCCAAGTAAAACAGACGGGTCTTAACACATTGGGAAAATAAAAAGGGGGAGGCCTGGCACCGAACAGAATAGTGACGGTGTTTACTGCAAATGGCTTTTATTGCAAAAGTGTGGGGATGGACAGAAGGATTATCCCCATATTACAGAAGTGTGTGGGGGGACTGAGGCTTAAAAGAAAAGCAGCACCACTCGGGGGGGGGGGGATGAAATTTGCAGTGTGCACTTTTTTTTTCAGCGCTGCACCATACCAGCTCTCAGACTGACAAAAGCAGCCGAACGGCTAGAGTTTTAAGGGAAAAAATATTTCTTGCAAAGGAGAGTGTTGCAGCACCGTAATAAGTAGCAGATTTGTTGTGATATAAGCTTTTATGGGCTTGAGCACAATTCTGCATCTCTGTTGTACAGATATACACACACACACACAAACACACACACAGAAGAGCGCTGCCTGCCAGCCATTCCATTCACCGGGTCATTAGAAGCAGTAATGGGTTCAAACAGGGCATTCTACTTGTTTGAATTTCCACCCAGCCACTTTCCCAATCAAGCTTATTTTGGGGAAATCCTTCCTTCAAAACCACTTTTTTGTCCTTCTGCAAACCCCCAGCTTTCCCCAAACATGCTGATAACCAGTGCTTTTTTGTAAAAAAAAGAAGAAGAAGAAGTGCCAGAACTCACGTCTTGGGGTCACTCTTTTACACTAAAAAAGATTTTCAATTCACCAACTTTTTTTGAAATAAAGAACTTATTTACCTTTTGCACGTAGCCAGTCACTCTACACACACATAAACATAATGGTCGCCGCCGGCAGTAAGCACTCAGCGCGCGACCACACGACCGATCCCAAGCCGAGCAGTGTCCCAAGCCGAGCAGCACCCTCACAATCAGCGCCGAGACACCAGCAGCCCGCAGGCACTATGGTAATGATTTTTCCCTGGGACCTGCTACTCCCAACAGGGCAATTCACAATCACTTGGAAAAATCCATCAAAAAAGGGTGCCGGAACACCGTTTCGGTGCGTTCTATGACAAAAAAAGCCCTGCTGATAACTATCTTTGATTCTTAGCGGCCATGTTTGGACTCTTGGCATTCAGCACCTGAACTTGCTGTGAGAAGAGATAACCTTAAGGGTAACACTCTCCATCATTTGAGGACGCCAAGGAAGTCTAGTGTGACTCCAGCGACTGGTTCATCTCGAAGCTGCCACAAGACCCTCCGTTTTTGCTACAACAGACGAACACAGCTAAAATCCGATCTCTCTGTTCTCTCTCTCATCATGACTGCACTAAACCTCAAACGCATCGCTCAGTGATTCTAAATTTAAGAAGCAAAACGTCTGGAACTCAGCTCCTTTGGTGTACCTTCTTCAGGTATGACTAGGAAACTGGAATTAATCATACAGTATTTTTTAGCTGGCATCCACACAAACCCTTCACTCTTGCAGGCAGTGTGGGGGAATTAATTTGCAGCATTTTGGGAGGAGGAATGGGTGATCCATTATCCCTTAAAACTAGCAGGTCACTCCCAATTTCCTGAAACTATTTGAGGCCTGTTATCAGGTTGTCTCTTTGTCCGTCATTGTCTTGCTCTGAGGAGTGATGTGAAGTGCCCAGATAGCCAGAGATGAAGCAAGGGAGAAGCCCTTCTCCTATTTATCCTAGATAAAAAAGACTGAATTCCACACAG